GGGGGGGGCGTAGAAGTTGGTCAATGTACAACAAACACAAGACCTACCACAGGCCTAAAGAAGTACAGACAGAAAATCTGAAGGTGGCCTGGGGCACAGCTGACAAAGCTCAGCTCAGAACAGCCATTTTACCTTTGTCACAAAATCACACTAAAAGCCCAGGATTAGTAATATAAACGTGATGTTTGTAGAAACAGCGAAACACCCTAATATCCTTATATAACTTTTCCTACCACAGCTTCTGAGCTACCAAGTTGAACTGGGTTCACAATTCATCCACAGCTGATGATAAACTAGGTCATTAAAGAAACTTTCAGTATTTATGAAACTTCATTTTTAAAAATTCCTAATTTGAAGATGATCAACTATGTGCAGTACCCTAAAAACTGTATAAATCAAGAAACATCCAAATGTCATATCACATCTTTACAGACTCACAAAGCCTATTTCCACTGATGGCAAGAACCTTCTTCCATCTCAAACTGATAAACATTTCACATAACATATAAATTTTGGGATCATAGCTTAAGAACGTTAAAGACCATCTAACTACACCTAACAATAATGTGGTATATATGCACAAGTGTGCAGCTGTTATGTTTTTTGTCAAAGAAATGCAAGGCTATGATTATGCTCTTACATAATGTCAGGAATAATTTTGCCTATAATGGAACATGAATGACGTACTACAGAAAGTGAAGGCTCTTGTAAAAAACTGTCTTTGTGAGATTACAACAGAAAGAAGGAAGGTTCTTTTTCTCCTTTTTAAAATTTTTTAACAATGATCAAACTTTTGTATTAGATATATTAACTGTGATTGACAGAAGAACTATTAAAGGCTTTATTAAATTGAGAAACTAAAAATCAGGTCAATCATTTTAAGAAATTCAATCATTCGGGGGGGAAAAATACATCAGTACGCCATATCATTTTAAACTGTGATATCAATGTTATTCATCTTCACCTGCTGTGACCTTACTTTTTTTCTAAAATATGATTATTTCAATTCATAATAGAGTTCATTCCATCCTTCCCTGCCTATTTGTAATAATATACGTCACTTACTGGTAAGTTTTGTTCTGATATTTAAAAACACTAACCAAAACAAGATATTTAAATTTTATACATATATACACGCACACATAAAATAGCCGTCTCAACCATAAAGTACATGGATATCCATATAAGACATATATAGATCAATAGCCAACCCAATTTCTATTCCCAGGCGGCCTATAGAATGCTGTTACACCTCCAGAAGTCACATCAGACTTTCATACTCTGTTTCTTGAATATCTACAAACCAAAGAGAATAATGTAAAACAGAACCTCACTCAGAGCTAATCATGGCTTTCTGCTGTAAGAAGTACCATCAACAGAACCAGAAAGGATAAAATTATCATTAAATTGCTGAAGCAAAATACCAACACAGTGTTTTGCATGTGCTGACAAGACATTGTTCACACAGTCCTTCTACGTTATTGTTGCTACCAGCCCTGTACTGATACTGTACTGTCACTCCAGTAAGGCTCCTGCTCTGTCCCAACAGGTACACAACACTCATTCTCCCTCCCCTTCCCTGTGTTATAAACAACAGGAAGAATCTTTTCTAGGTGAATTCCAGTGCACTTTGGCCACTTTTACACAAATTATTAATTCCTAGATATCATCAATTACAAACAAGGATAGTTTGTTTCTTACTAGATGTATTTTGCCACCTTTTAAAACCAGCTTTTTAACTTTTAAGCAGAATTATGTGCAATGAGAAACAGTTTCCTACACAATATCTATTTACTCTTTTAAATGTTTTCATTAATGCATTAAAATCATGGCTTGTCCTGGTCACAGCTTTAACAAGCCATGTGCCTTGCCTGCATGTCAGCTCGATTAAAATGTATTCTTCTGGAATTAGGAAGTCTTTAACTTAGAAATATGAGGAATAGATTTTTTTTCTTCCCCTACTGATTTTTCCTTTATTAAAGCTGTATTGATCACATGGCAACACACCCAAAACACTTCTGCATCGCTCAACATTTTCAAGCAGGTACAAATGCAAAAAGAGACAAAATACTTACCTTAGGTGGTTTTCTAGATGATTGGCAAAAAAAAAATTCAGCAACGGTGAGAAGTACGAATACACCATTCACATAAAGGGAAAGGAGCAAAGGAAAAGAAAAAAGAAACAAGGTCAGTGTACATCGTTACTATAGCATGAACTGTTTTGTAATCCACAATGTATTTAAGAAAATTCAGATCAGAAGATATTTATATGATACACCACAGATTAATCAGTAATTATTTAATTACTAATACAACCCCACATTAAAAAGAAAGCAAAAATGTCAGATTCCTTACAGGTATAAAAAAAAAATAAAATAAATCTAACAGCACTGAGTTCCAGAGGAAGACAATCATTCATTTTGTTGTGGAAGTCAAAACACAGCCCATCTTTGCTGGCAAACAAACTAAGCCTGCAAGCTGGCAGACCAAGGTGCCAGGGCAAAGCCCCACTGACTTCAGCAGTGCTATACATGCAAGACCAAGGTAAGATGTTTCTTGTAGAGATTATAGAAATGTGAAGAAAAATAAACCCATTTTCCCTAGCCACAGAAAGCCTACACAGAGCTTAAGAAGCCAAGGCAAAAACCACATTATCCCTTCACACACAACTCCAATGAGCACTGTCAGAAATAAAACAAACCCTCAAACTAAAGATACCAGCTTGGAGTACTTCAACTTGTTCTTAAATGCTTTGATACTTATGCTGGCAGCCATATGGCCACATAGTAAATTAAATCAGTTTGGGTTTTTTTGGTGGGATTGGCTTCAAGTGAGACCGCTGCCCTGTCTCACCATGCAGCCCTGTGCTCACTAGTGCCAATGCAAGAGAGGAGATGAAAATATGGTGCAGAATTAGACTGACTTGGGTCATTCATGAAGACTACAACCTTAGGTATATGTTTAAATTATGTATTGAAATAAGCCTGAAGTGATACACAGAAGAAACTTCCACCTGCTCATCACATCAAGGAAAAAAAAAAAAAAAAAAGGCATACAAATGTGCATGAAGGGAAAGAAACACAACCAGAAAAGTCTAGACAAAACAGCACAAGCAGAGAATGTAGTAAGGTTTATAAGATAATCATAGAATCACAGAACAGTCTGGGTTGCAAGCGACCTTGAAGACCATCTAGTTCCAACTCCCCCGCCATGAGCAGGGACACATTCCACTAGACCAGGTTGCTCCAAGCTCCATCCAACCTGTTCTTGAACACTGCCAGGGAGGGGGCAACCACAGATGCTCTAGGCAACCGAAGGGTATGGGTGAAAGGTCTCCACCTACCCAGCAACAGACACACTACACAAAATTCAAAGATTGCAAGAGGCTACAGTCTTAGTGCAGAAAAACATGGGACCAAGTCATGCTTTCATTCACCAGACTACACACACTAACTCCACCAAGTCAGAGGGGGAAGAACAAAACCAAAAACCACTTTGAGCAGTTTTCTTAGCAACACACAATACAACGGCTCAGCAAAAAAAGCTGAAGAGACACAAATCCACAAATGCATCTTACACAATCTTTTCTGCCTACTCTCAGCTCGTACCTTAGATGACATGTCTGCCTAAAACAGAAGTTACATAGCTGGTACACCGTACTGCTATAACGCGAACATATTTTGCCTCTGAGCCAAACCACTCACTGCAGCTTTACCCTTTCATTAAGAGGCTCAGTTCACAGCTACCTCGTGTCTAGGTGGCTCAAAAGTTGTGCAGAATGCACTCTTATCTGAAAAATACATTTAGCTGTACCTTGAATATTTCTCACTTGAATCACTTTTCAGATATGAAAGTCCAACACTATCAGCTTGTCTAGCTGGAGTCCCAGTACCAGCTCTAAACCTTCAATTCCTACTTGGAAGAGAAGTTCCTGTTGAAAGAAGTAATTCAAGGTGTTTTGGAAAGCTTTTTAATACACTCATATCTTGAAAAATAAGTCCAGAATACATCAGC